CTCTAATAATAATCAAATCATTTTTATCGACTTTTGGAAATATTTTCTGAAATAGTACTCACTTTTTTTGAAGAAAATGAACTTGATATCATAAAAGGAGAACCAATAATGCTAATCAAAGGGGCTTACATTAATTAATAAAAAACAATCAGATAGGATTTGAAATAACAAAAGCATCATATGTAACCATCCGTTATGGACAAGACTCTAAGTTAATCACTTTTGACAAAATAATATAACTCAATAGTCTTAACTTGACTATAATCAAAACAACGACAATTACCGCAGTCCGCAGACCTCTCATCCCTCAATCCAAGTGTAAATGTCTTACAGCATAAAATAAATAAACAACACACAATTGAAATAAAATAAAAACGAAACACAATCATTTTAGCAGTAATAGAAATAGTCGTAAAAACCCTAATCGTACTATTCCTCCATGGCGGCCATTCCGGAGGGAGAAGGAACAACATCCCTTCATCTTCTTTCACACATAGGCCATTAATGGCACGTTGCTGACCACTAGAAACTTCATGTTTTCTCCAATAGCCATTTGTTTGTGTTGATGGACCACCAAAAACTCCATGCTTTCTCCAATAAGAATTACCAAAAAAAGGATTAAATCAGATTTGGAATTCCAAAATGGCTCCAACTTCATTGAATTATTCTTTTTGAAAAATTTTGTTATATTCATCTCATTACCAAGTTTTATAATATGTTTTTTATTTTATTTTTACTGATACAAAATTAAATATAATTACAGTCAAATCATACATTGGAAAAGGTGAAAAGTAGAATATTAAAACTAAAAAAGAACGGAAAAAATAGTTGTTACTTCCATGTATGTAAAATACTACCAAAAATGAATATCACATTCATTAGTTATAATTAATATTATCATATTAAATGCACTGTACAACAATTATTTAATAATCTACTCTTATTAATCCTATTTTACAAATAAAAACTTAATTTGAAATTGCAAACACCATTTACTCTTATTTTAAGAAATCTCACAAACTTTTGTATTTTATGAATGAATTATGGAGTATATCTTAAACGTGTCCTTGACCTATCAATGTTTCCATTTTAAGACCCAAATCGTATAAACATTCAGTTTTTCGGTCCCCCTTTTAATCCAATCCTCTTTAAAAACGGAATCTACTCTTATAGATGTACAATATTTTAAAGTTGAGATAAAATAACATTTTCTTAAGTAGTGAAAGTTGAGATAATTTTCAAGTTCAAAATTCTAAAAGTAGTGATATTTTTCACGAAAAATATTACAGTATAAAGGTAGAGATATACATTGCGGTAAGTTGTGATTTGGGGAAAATGTAATCCAACCTTGTGCCCACGAAGATTAACAGAAATGAAAGTATCTCCTGGACGAGTCTATTGGAAATCTGAAGTCAAAAAACTCCATTAATTTTGCAAACGAAGAAATTGCCTCAAAACACTGCGATTAGTCTAGGGACAGAGTGCGTTTGCTTTTTCACACTTCACATCGCAACTATTTAAAAAAATTAAATTTTCTGGAATAAACACAATCAAATATACCAGCAATAAAAGGGCCTGAGTCATCAGGAAGAAGTTCAGATTCAGGCGAGTGATGCCGGATTTCATATCGCAAGTGTTTGAATAAGAATTGTCCGGATGATAGATTTGAAATCCGGACAAGAAGCTAACTTGCTTAAGAAAATGTATAACGGGATAGGGAGCATCATATTCCTTAAATTCTACCGATTATGGCTTATAAAATCTATCGTTGAAGTAAGGATTACAAGTAGTGAGCCGAAATACGCCGGCCGCCATTCACAGAGCAGACGAAATGGGAAGACAGATTGAAGCTAGGGTTGAGATTGCAAAATAAATTGGCAAAGTATATATAGAGTACAAAACGACGATGGGCTGAGCACAGGTGGTACATAGATTGTTGATATGGGCCTTTGTTAAAATAAGAGGCTGATTAGGAGTGATAGAACCAAACCAAAACTGACAAATCAAAACTTATTCGGATTTTCTTACTTTTGGAGACGGACCGAATAAAAATATTCAGACCAAAACCAAATTCACTAGTGGTATCGAAAATCTATAATTCCTCTCCGCCCGGCCCGGTCATAACACGACACAATTCCATTTAATATAAATCAATATAATATTATAATATAAGAATATTAAACCCGAATTAATTCCTAATATATTACTAGAATAAGCTTGTTGAATTCGAACCTATTCAATAACTTTAGTGACTATGAAAATATATTTTAATAAATTTACTCACATTTTTATGTATCTTAAACTCAATATTAAGATAAACTATTTTCTCTCGGTGTGAGTTGTTGACGATTTTTGAAGACTAATATCTGTCTTATTATTTATAGTTTGTGTTGTTGAGTTATTTTATTTGAAAATATGTTTAGAATATAAAAGAATGATGTGTTGATTTCTCGCTCGGGCTTTAACATGCTTTACTCGAACCTGGGCTATCAAAAACTCAACTCAAACGAGTAAGTCAACACCTAATTTTGACTTGTTCCAATCCCTAATTTTCATAACCCTCCAGATCTTATGGGTAATTCCCGGATTTGACAAAAATCTGACCCAGACCAAAGAGTGAAACGACGAGCCAGCTAACACCGACTTGCTATAAATAGTCCTCATAAATTAGAAGAGGTGTTTATTTCTCGGCATTTGCTGGTAGCCTGGTATTATTCAAATACTCAACTCATGTAACCATTGATGACTTATTTGTTGTGATGGGTAGAACAAAATACTATTGATTTTTCAGAATTGTTCTTGAGTATATTGCAAGTGTTCTTCATATATATGAATCATATATGCCCTTTGATCTTAGCCATTTGCACTCATTTCCCTAGTCCTGAATCGACCACCCATGAAAGAGTTTTGTTGGACTTTGGGTTGAGGGAATTTAACCAGACTATTTTACTTTTTTTGTTAACATTTCCAATTTTCTTGATTTTCTACAATTTATATTTTTGTATAAGATCCAACTTGTGACATTTCTTCGACTTTTTCACCCAAATACGTAACTATTGATTTCACGAATTTCATTGTGTAATAATAAGAAAAAATAAGATTGAAATTATTTTGCGGCTGAATTGACTGAAGTTACTATACATGATCATTTTAGTTATTTATATAATTTTTTATTTATTTTATTAATAAAATATACATTGAATATAACTTTTTCATAATTCAGTGGATGCAGTCAATTCAGTCTCACTTCAATCATAACTTCATCAATTTCATCAGAATCAATCAATTTAATCAATTTCTATGTCACCAAAAGGCCTTAAATATTTTTAAAGAATTCATTACAAATAACATATTTTGTATTTAAAAAAATCCCACATTTTTAAATATTTTTAACTTTTAAATTTGTACTTTTGAGCATTTTATTACAAAATTTATTATACATTTTTGTACACTTCTCTGATTTTTTAAATTGAAATCTGTGTTTTTTATTATTTAAGTTACAAGTTTAAAATTTTGAATTGTTAATGTATTTTTGTTTCTTTTTAATTTTTGACTAAGTTTTTAATGTTTAGTTTTAGTTTTTTAGGCTTTTATTATTTGTTCAAGTATTTTTATCGTTTTGGCTTTTTGTAAATTTTACATATTATTTTTTCTATGCAACTCCATTTCGCTATAGGCACACTAAACGAAATAGGTCAAGAATTTGGAGTGCATGATAAAACCAACCTACCCTACAGTTATTACGATTAAAGATTCCATACCGGTGGGCGTAGCTCAACTGGTAGCAAGGGAGTGCCACAAGGGTTAAGTCTCGGGTTCAAATCCCGACAACTGCGATGAGGGGTTACTATGCTGAAAAATGCATAGGACTTCTGCAAGTACCGGAGACAGAGCCACACTCTCTATCTGTCAGATTGTGATTATAGTCCAATTTACATCCTCCCATCGTGCCGTCCGGTCGGTGTTGGGGGCCCTCAGGGATGGGGTGTCATCCTTTTTTTGATTAAAGATTCCAATAAGTTGTCTATTCGTGAAAAGAAAAATATAGCTAGTATTTTAAAAAATAAACTTAGGAAAAACTGTCAATTAAGTCCATATACTTTTAATAAAAAGTTAATTAAGTCTACATACTTTTTATCGAGTCAATTAAGTCCGCTAAGTGTCAAAAATCAACCAAATATGCTATTTTGTAGGTAACCAAACGGTTACCCGGTTAACCGTCCACGTGGACACCCCTGCTAGCATTTTTTTACTGTTTTCTTTTCCTTTTCCTACTTCTTTCTCTTTTTTCTTTATGTTTAGTCCGTGTGCTCTATTTTCCGATCTATTTCATCCCTCCAGCCTTCCCTTTATACTCCATTAATGGCAAATCTTTTTTTCATCAAATCCCTTGCTCTCTTCCAATTCGACTCGCCGTGTCTTAATCGCAACTTGTGTTCTTTCTTTCTTGTCTAAACTGATCCCAATCACAATGAAACCAAAGGGAGAGGTGAATATGTAGACAAGGGCGGCGGCGGCGGAGGCAGGGGCGGATCCAAGAATGAGGGGTGGGGTGGGCTAAGCAATAAATTTTTTTTTAAGTCTTTAAAAAAATACCAAATCCAACCCAAAACTTAAAAAAAAATTCAAAAAAAAATAAAAAAAATTAATATCCGGCCTGGACCGGGCCCGAACCAGCCGGGCCGGTTCGCCTAAAGCAGGGCCCGAGCCCGGACCGCCCATCACCCGGGCCGGGCCAAACCGAACCGCTGGACCCATCGGGCACCGGGCCGGGCCGGGCCAAACAGTAACCGGGCCGAGCCGGTTCTGGGTCAGGCTACCCGGCCCGAGTCCACCCCTACCTCGGCTGCTTCCTCTTTGTTTTATCGGTAGGATGGGGTACATGGAAAATTTACATCAGCCAAAAAATGGTCCAAGTAGATTCCACGCAAGCATGGTAATCGGGAACTTGTTGATGACTGCTTAAACATCTAATTTGAGAGATTTTTAAAAGTTTAAGGGCTTAATTGAACGATTATCAGGTACAGGGACTTAATTGACTTTTATGAGAAAGTACGAGAACTTATTTGACAGTTTTTCCAATTAAGAATAAGTTTTCCTAATTCTCCTACAATAACATCAGAAATGCACATTGACAGACTGCACACTAAGAACAAACAAATCAACATGACGGAAGTATGGTGGCAATGTGGTACTATCACCAATGCGAGCAGGAACCAATTTCAACTGGTAGTCAGGGAGTGAGTGTTACATGTTTGAGGCCTTTTATGTGTGCATAAATAAACAAAAGGGCGAATTGGAATGCTTTCGTACCAAAATGTCTTATTCCAGTAGCAAATTTTAAACAGCATCCAAAACAGCATTGCTAAAGTTAGTGTCTCCCCGCGGAATTTTGAAGCCTGAAAGATGCCAAGATAAAACAGAGGAATACTGTAATGGAATAAATATTGGAGTAAAATAAAACATGGGCTCAAACTTCAAACTCATCACAATTTTCTGGAATTTTTCTATATGTAATTAATAAATAGTACTCCAACACACACCCTTTACGGCTTTACCAATTCTATATGTCCAGAGTAATAGGGTAAAACATGAGCGAAATATTCAAAAGACAAATAGCCACTACAAAGAATATGTCGCTTTGTAAATGACCTTATCCCTCCTGTAGCACAGATTCTACACATCTCAAAGTTTAGATTACATTTCATATTTCAGTAAAAAACTCTCCGCCAGCTCCAACACACAAACTTTACCAACTCTTTGTTCCGACCATGGCGAATCACACCAACCACAACCACTTGACCGATATCGAAAACAGTCACAACACTAAGCAGTGACCAGAAAACCCTAGCTATAAAAAAACTTAAGCCATACTGAAGAAGATGAACAGGATCAATTTTCAGTCCCCCACATGCCCACATGACAATGTCTGAACCAGAAAGAATGCTTTTATTCACCCAGAGCAAAATATTTAATTACCAAAAAACACAAATCTTACTGCATAAAACAAGTGGAACCAATCCACGACATGGCAGTGACTGGATCCAGGAAGAAATCCTCTTCACTCTGAACCCAAGAACTCAATTACCAAAAGAGCCAAACTTTCCAATGAAGACGGTTGTTAGTAACCCATGGGTGGAGACGTGGAGTGTAACTGGTGCCATGTATTCCAAGTTTCCAACTATGGTGAAGAAGTACACCTAGGCTCGACTTATAAAGGAAAAAGAAAGAGCTATTACAGTCAGTGATTTTTTTTATTCATCATCATAATCATCACTACCCCGTGCCGCAAAGGCTCCCACCTACGGTGGGGTAAAGGGGGGCTGATGTACGCAGTCTTACCCCTGTACTAAAGCACAGAGAGATTATTTCCGGATGACCCACAATGAAAATCGCGTCCAGAATGCATGGACTGCAGCTTCATAACAAAGAAGCGCAGACAATTTAGTGAGCCATTTGTATTTCACTCCTCCTTTTGGTCAAACTTGATCAAGTTTGACTAGCAGGTGGAATAAAAAAAGTAAAACTTGTGCCGTTGAGGTTCTTACATTGAAGACAAAATAACATTAGCTACAATTTTCTCTCTTGAAAAGGAAAGAAGCAATGTTATTGGAACAAATATATAAAGAAATTTGCCACAGTTTAGTGAGACAGTTTTTAATATGCTAGTATTATGCAACACAAAAGAAAGTCGATGCACTTTTTGTACTATGAGATACTAGAAACTCGATGGCCATGAAACATGGACAAGTGATGACACTTAAAGAAGAGTTTTCTTTCATGGTTGTGGGTGCTTAGCAGCAATCCAACTCCCATGTTGAATAACTTCTGATTCGCTTGTTGGGGATTAAGACTTTTGTTGGTCTATGTGGACTTGAAAGATGAAAATATAGATATTCAAGAAGTGGAAGTGGGTAATCGAGAAAAAAGACACTACAGACACTGCAGTTCCTAACCTGACATCGACAAACCTGTCTCCCAGAATTGAGCTCAGCTAAAAAAAAGCCGGAACAATGCTTGGCTTGTGAAGCTTGATTTAATCATTTAATATTAGAAAAGTCTAAAAGCTACTGAATCAAAAGTCACAAGCACCCCAGTGCATTGGCATAGCCACTGTAAATTTATGACAGCCGACAGGTATTTTCGACATTACCAACTTAAAGAACAAATCTTGTGGTGGGAAGGGAATTTGTATATACCAATTCCTTGCAGTGATATCCAACTAAGAACCCTATAGCTCATCAGTAATCAAGAGCTGGTTAACATTGATCCGACTAATATATAAAAATAAGATACATATATTAATATATACAAGTAGTTGATGCATATATACTCATAGCTAACCATGCTTGACTCGAGATACAATAAGTTGTCAGCAAATATAAGCTCTAATATACATATGAATCTCACTTAAAGACCAAATGAATAAGAATAACTAAAGCATATATTTATCACTGTGCATATTACTGTGAAGGAAAAAAAATACAACAATGCCAAAAAAGAAACAAGCATAAGCTAAAGTGTAAAACAAAAGGAACCATCCAAACAGGAATCAAATAGAATAACCGAAGCATATATTTATCATTGTGCATATTACTGTGAAGGAAAAAAAAATACAACAATGTCAAAGAAGAAACAAGCATAAGATAAAGTGTTAAAAAAAAGGAAGCATCCAAACAGTAATCAAATATCTTTAAGACATTTAATCAGCGCTACTCCTCAGCACAATTACTAACCAATATCTAGGACCAATTCAAACTCATATCTCTCACGCTCAACTCCCGAATAACAAAAGCACCACAAACTCATTCAGATCTTAGGCCATATGTCATTTGCTGGGTTTGGTTTCTCTACCTGTCTCCAATGTAGACAGAGTGTGCTTGTCTCCCCCATCAGTCCTGTGCCTGATTTCTGAGAGGACAACCAATATTTTCGCGTTCTCACGCTTAGACCCCAGATTGAGACCTCACATCTTTTGCCTAACCCATAATTCAATCCCACAGTAAATTGAGGGCAACCAGATCTTAATTCATAGCCGTTTAGTATTATAACTACTAACAAAGACTGGTTTATTAGCTAGCTAGTTTCAATGGTAAATAAGAACCAATACATACAGTATGATATCATAAACATAGAAAAGTGAATACTTTCGCACTTTGAAGTTTGAAGAAGTGTAACCAAAATAATTTAGGTTTAGCAAACAGGAATAAATGAGTTCCGCTGTCCCTGGAAATTTCCAGAAATTGTCACCATGAAAGGATAATATTTTCAGGTAGGTTACAATGTTTACATATTATTCAAATTAAGAGCTAAAAACAATACAACTCCAAGATGACAAACCTTGCAGAGCTTCACTCCTTTAAGGAGTATCCCAAGGCTTTGGCTCCGGGACCGCGACGACCATACCCTGGTGCTCCTGAGTGAGGACGACCTGGCATCCGAGTCTGGAGTGCTTGTTCAGAACCTTATTCCTAGAGTTCCTCTTGAGAACGTACTGTTCATCGTACGTGGGCGGGGGAAGCTTCTCGAGCCACTCCTGCGCAATGTGGACCTCGCACTCAGCAGAGCAGGCATCAATATCTTCAAGACGGTGGGAAGCCGGATCAATCAATCCATGGTTGGCCAGGGCCTTGAGAAGCGTCTGGCCGGAGAGTCCGATCACGTCGCGCTTCCGACCATCGGGATCGATTGCAAAGAGATTCACGATCCGGTCAGACACCTTGGCGGAAGAAGTCCGCGGTGAGGAGATGGCAGAGGAGGCGGTCGATCGGACGGCAGTTGTTGCTCCAAAAGAGTGGGTGAGAGAGGGATTCCGGAAGATGTGCGGGGCGAGTCTTCGTAGACAGACGGCAGCCATTTTCGGAAGCTGCGGCATGCGCGAATGAGAATTTTCTTACGAAAGTTGAATCCGCTTCTAACAAAATTTGGGCCGTTCTTAATTTTGATGTACACATTTTGATGCACAACGCTTTTCTTAATTTGGAATAAAGATGTTTACGATTCAATCTGTCCAAATTTTAAAATTTAATTCTGAGAGGATAGAAGTAATTTAGAGCACCTTCGGTTAGGGCTGGGACTTTGGAACCAAGAACCGGAGAACCGAACCGGACCGAACCGTTATGACCCGGTTCGGTTCGGTTCCAACATTTATTAGTTATTTTTTAACGGTTCGGTTCCTATTTTTTATTAATGGTTCGGTTCTCGGTTCCTGAAAAAAATATGTACTAGGAACCGTTAAGAAACCGTTATATATAATAATTAAAATTATATATATTTCTTATGAGCATATATATTTTAATGTATATTTACTTACTAATTTTTATATTACATTCATTATTTTTGTTTAGTTATTCAACTATTTAAAACTATTATTCACTTCAACCGGTTCTCTTAGGCTTCTTAGGCCTCTCATTAGGTCCAAACTCCAGTGGGTCGGAACTTTGAGGGTCCAAGTATTTAAAATTATTATTCTCTTTAACTGTTTAAGCATATTTGTATCGTAATTTCAAACGTAGAATGTCTTTATGGCAAAAATTTAGTCATGATTTGTAAGAATTTTTTCGAAGACTAGGAACCGTTAAATGACAAGAACCGAACCGTTAAGAACGGTTCGGTTCCTTATCGGTTCTATAAAATAATTTATAAGAACCGAACCGTTAGTAAAATTTCATATTTTCAAACGGTTCCACATATTTGGCCTAGGAACCGAACCGGTCCCAAGCCTACCTTCGGTGCATCTACATTTTTATTCAAACATTCTAATATTTTCTTTGAAAAAAATTACCAAATAAGCCCTCAAACTTATATAAAAATTGGAAATCATCTCTTATATAGAAAGTTCTGTCCAGCCGTTTCCATTTAGGACGGTTCCCGATGGAAGTTTTTGATGAAATTGTTTGAACATCTTATTCATTAAGTCTAGTTTACTCATACCAAATTTCAACTGCAAATTCAATCGTAAAGGCAGTCAAATGAATTTTTGAAGATAACTGCGCACTTAAACAGTGTTGTATATTTCAGAAAATCATTTGACTGCATCCCGGTTGAATTTTTACCTGAAATTTGGTATGAGTAAACTAGACTTAATGAATAAAATGCTCAAAAAATGTCATCAAAAAATTCCACCGGAAACCGCCCCAAACCTCCTACATAATGGCTGGTTTGCACTTTTTATGTAAGTTCGAGGTCCTATTTGGTAGGCCTGTCAATGGGTCGGGTCTAAACCCGGACCCGGTTATTTTTAACGGGTATGGGTCTATATTTTATTCCGTTTACCTGGACCCGGATCCGGACCCGTTAGTATATTTAATAAACGGGTCGGGTATGGTACATATGATTCCGACCCGTTAAGGACCCGGACCTGTTTAAAATTTCTTATTTATATACAAACTCTCTAATACATAAAGTAATTAATTATAACACTTCAAGTAAAAAATTACAAACTAACATATACACAAAAACATATACATAATAGTAATAATACATAAAATTATTAGTTGTAATTCTTCAATCGAAAATACACACACTAATACATACCTATTAGTGTGTGTGTTAAATTAATACCCATTTTGACCGTTTATTCATAGTGATAAATGTGTACTGGGTCCGGTTAGCAACGCACAATATTCATTATTATATTAATTATTATTATCAATATTATTATATCAATATCATACACTCCATACAATATGTTTTTATACTTTCAATAGTCCAAGACTGTTATAAAATGGAATGAAATAAGCAAAAGATCAGGGAGAGAAAATATAGTATGAACACTTAGTGATAATTATGTTATTGAGAGTGTGATAATGGGGTTGTATTGGTGTATAATTACAATGGATAAGACTTCTATTTATAAGAGAAAGTGTGAGCTCAATGAGATTAGGAGATCATTGTGAGCCACACATTTATCACCTTGAAATCACAATTATGATTTTCTAATTATTTATGTAATGGTGATAATAATTCCTAATCAGAAATAGTTAGAAGATGACTAATTCAATAATATTTCAACACTCCCCCTTGAATGGTCATCTTCTAATTATTCTGGGGTATTAGTTTCATAGTATTATAATGTACTGTCTCGTTAAAAACCTTTGTCAGGAAAAACCCAGTGGGAAAAAAAAAACTGACGAAGGAAAAAAGAGTGCAGTGCATTATATTACTCCCCCTCAATTTAACATATATCTCAAGACGATACATTCCAATTTTGTGGACAAGTTTTTCGAATTTCTTCGGTTCTAATGACTTTGTGAATAAATCAGCAGGATTGTCACAGGACTTGATTTGTTTAACATAAACCGTTCCTTGTTTCTCAAAATCATGTGTGGAGAAAAGTGTTGGTGTTGTATGCTTTGTTCTATCCCCTTTGATGTAACGTCCTTTGACCTGCGCTATATCTGGCTAACAAATTTATAGAAAAAGCTAGCAATATCTAGTCAAGTATTATATTAGCCAAATACATTAATGCTTCAATAGCATTCAAATATATTATTTCACGACCAACATCATATTTACTAGGTCAGAAAAATCATCATTCACATTGAGAGATTGAAACATCATTGAAGAATTGAGCGGGTGTGGTTTATTCATGTAAAACCGCTTCAAAAGTTTCTTGATATATTTTGATTTGTGAATAAAAATACCATTTCTCAAATGTTCAATTTGAATGACGAGATAAAATTTTATTCTCCCAATATCTTTCATTTCAAATTCTTTCATGAGATATTTTGCAGTATTTTCAATTTCATTGGGAGTTTCAATAATGACTAAATCGTCAACATATACTGCAATTATGGCGAATCCTGATTCGGATCGCTGAATGAAAACACATGAACTAATAGGGTCATTTTTATATCCTTCTTTAATCAAATATTCACTGAGACGGTTATACCACATGCGTCCAGATTGTTTTAATCCATATAATGACTTTTGCAATTTTATGGGAAATAAATCTCGAGATTTTGAGCTATAAGCATTGGGTATTTTAAAGCCTCCAGGAATTCTCATATATATGTCTATGTCGAGTGAACCGTATAAATATGCGGTCACCACATCCATTAGGCGCATTTGCAGCCTTTCAAAAATAGACATGTCAATTAAAAATCTTAAAGTTGTAGCATCAACTACTGGAGAAAACGTCTTATCATAATCGATTCCTGGCATTTGAGAAAAACCTTGGGCAACAAGTCGGGTTTTGTATCTAACGATTTCATTTTTCTTGTTGCGTTTATGCACAAAAACCCATTTAAAACCGACTAGGACTGGGACTTTGGAACCAAGAACCGGAGAACCGAACCGGACCGAACCGTTATGACCCGGTTCGGTTCGGTTCCAACATTTATTAGTTATTTTTTAACGGTTCGGTTCCTATTTTTTTATTAATGGTTCGGTTCTCGGTTCCTGAAAAAAATATGTACTAGGAACCGTTATATATAATAATTAAAATTATATATATTTCTTATGAGTATATATATATATATTTATGTATATTTACTTACTTATTTTTATATTACATTCATTATTTTAGTTTAGTTATTCAACTATTTAAAACTATTATTCACTTCAACCGGTTCACTTAGGCTTCTTAGGTCTCTCATTACTCATTAGGCCAGAACTCCAGCGGGTCGGAACTTTGAAGGTCCAAAGTATTTAAAATTATTATTCTATTTAACTGTTTAAGCATATTTGTATCGTAATTTCAAACGTAGAATGTCTTTTTGGCAAAAATTTAGTCATGATTTGTAAGATTTTTTTCGAAAACTAGGAGCCGTTACATGACAAGAACCGAACCGTTAAGAACAGTTCGGTTCCTTATCAGTTCTATAAAATACTATCGTAATTTATAAGAACCAAACCGTTAGTAAAATTTCATATTTTCAAACGGTTCCACATATTTGGCCTAGGAACCGAACCGGTCCCAGGCCTAAAACCGACAGGTTTTGCGCCTTTTGGCATATGGACAATTGGTCCAAAAACATTAAGCTTTTCTAGCGATTTTAATTCTACCTGAATTACTTCATTCCATTTTGGCCGATCGTTTCTACGACGACATTCGTCAATAGATTTAGGTTCATTGTCATCGTGTTCATTCATTATATTTGTGGCGATGGCATATGAAAATATATCATTAACATCAATATTATTTCTATTCCATTGTATTCCATTAGAAACGTAATTAATTGAAATTTCGAAATGTTCATTTTCTTCTTGAGAAGGTTGAACTTCTCTGGCATCACAAACTACAACTTGCTGTTTAAATTTTCTTGGGTTCAAATCTCTTGAAGCAAATGGTCTACCACGTTTTTTTTACGTATCATAGATTCATTAGCAAGAGTTGTTAGTTTCTATTCGAGAAGGAGCATTCATAGCTGGAATATGTGACTTTGTCACTTTCTTTGAGTCTGTGAAAGCATCAGGCAATTGGTTTGCAACATTTTGTAAATGAACAATCTTTTGAATTTCTTGTTCACAAGCATTCGTGCGAGAATCAAGAAAAGATAAATTTGTTGCATTCCAAGTAATATCTTTCGTATGTGGGTCCATTTCTTTAATATCTCCCCCTAAGGCTGGGAATACTGTCTCATCAAAATGACAGTCATCGAACCGCGCGGTGAATAAGTCATTAGTCATAGGTTCTTGATAATTAATAATTGAGGGAGATTTAAAACCAAAATAAATTCCTAACCTTCTTTGAGGACCCATTTTAGTACGATAAGGTGGAGCAATTGGTACATACACAGAACAACCAAATATTTTTATGTGTGATATATTTGATTCTTTAACAGATATTAATTGCAATGAGGAAAATTTATGATATGCAGTTTGCGTAAGCCGAATTAAATTTGCAGCATGCATGATAGCATAACCCCATGCAGATGATGGTAATCTGGATTTCATCAATAATGGTCTAGCAATTAATTGTAATCGCTTAATTAAGGATTCAGCAAGA